CGACCTCAAGTCGATCCCGATCATTCCAAACTAGGACAATAACCTTTCAAAGGTCCGTACTAACTTCCCTTTTTTAATAACACACAAGAACAACCATTGCAACCGGAGTGATCCCCCCACAGTCCACAACACAATAAACTAAGTGCCCTCCAGGCACCAAATTCTCAATTTAACGACATCACTACAATCTTCATACTTGGTTTAAATCTTTAATCAATCAAGTGACTACATGTCACACTTATACAACCTTCCCGTGAGATACGCTCCCACGACCTTCCGCACTAGATAACGAGTCTGCACATCCATACCACCGGTCGTACTAACGCCGAAAAGTGAATCAAGAATCCTTAACCAGGATGCAAAGACTTTTTCACAAAACACCGACCTCAAGTGACGCTGAAGGCAATACCAACTTACTTTAAACATCGAAACTACTTTCTTGCTCATCTGAGCTCGCGACATCCTTGTTAACACTAAACTGCAACCTTGATCCTTACTTCAAATCCCATACCACTCACTGCACCCAACATGCCAATATACGATAGAACACGCTTTTTATCGTAACTCCGGAACCACTAATAGGTTAACACTTCATCATATAGAAACTTTTCACTCAACTCCCTTCAGGAGAACCATAGCAACACACAGGTGAATTCTCATAACCGTAGAATATGCAAATCTCTAAGTAGTGGTCTAAGCCCCCATAGCCCTTCCGGGATCCGCCTCCACATAACAGGTCATAATAGTAGGATACTTCTGAATAACATCGATTACGGCGGCCGACAAGCCTCACACGTACCGTCACAAATCACTTGCATAACTTGATCACGCTGAAGGAACTGGTCACTACCACCATATGCCAATTCAACCATGGCTAGCCAATCCATCTTCGTCCAATTTGTCCTTGATATCCATAGAAACAATAATAACTCCATTCCACACTTACCCCACTTTTATCCGCACTCATCCCGAGTGACCTTGAATCACGAGACCATGTTGTCTCAAATCCCACGAACCATTTCACACCTCCCAAATGCTACACTGCAAGTCAAAACATCATAGCACATTATGTGCCCCTTCTCATAAGCTGCTACAGGGCTTGATTCTTAGCCGGTGCTATAGGCTCGAAATCATTAGACACCACGCTTTACCCTTTGAATCCACTAGGACCGTTGTTGAGAGCCACCCGCTCTGACTAGGACTCGAATATAATCAACTCCAGGAATCTTCTATCACATGAATACCCTCTGGGCGAGCCCACATCTGACCATTCTCAGTCCGATTGCCTTTCCCCTGCCGGGAATGAAATACTGAATTTCTAGATCATGCACTGAGTAAACTTCCCTTCAAATCATTCACTGCCCCGACGCATAGGCAAACATCCTACCATCATATCAATACTGCGGAACAATCGTTCATAAGCATCATGGCATCCTGTGCCTAGCCTCAGAGCTCTCAGAAGTACCGCTACTGAGCTGAAACGACAGAATATCATTCCACAAGGCGACGATAATAGCTCAAACAACCCCGCAGGGAGAAACACCCCGCACCACATTCGTAGTACCATTACAATCCTTCAATTCTCGATTTATAACCAGCGGTTCGCGTCACGTAAGATTGAGTAGGAAGGAAACAAGGGTATAAGCCTCAAGGAATCAAACCGCACGATGAGGAATCAAGAAGGGAAGTACTCCTAACAGTCCTGCAGCCTCCCGAGGATAAGTACAGACATCTCCGTACCGATCCGCGAGACTCTACTAGACTTGCTCATGACTCGTGAGACCCTAGGAACCTAGTGCTCTGATACCATGTTGTCACGACCCAAAATCCACTAAGGGTCGTGATGGCGCCGGACACCACTGTCAGGCAAGCCAACCAAAGTACTTAATCAATCCCCATTTTACTACTTTTGAAATCTAGGATTTTCCTTCAAATTTACCAATTAAGAAGATAATTGTCTCAAATCAATTTTAAATGATAAACAGTTAATACAAAATACTTCATAACCATCCAAGAACCCGGTGTCACAAGTGCATGAGCAATTTCTAAGAAAAACCGAATAAAGTACAACAGATGTCCGGATTACAATCGGACAGAAAATAAATAGAATCTTGAGAGAGACTATACTAGCTGCGGGTCGCCTCGAGGAAATACAGCTCACCTAGTCTCCGTGTCAACCATGCTGCTACGCCCACTAGGCCATTAGAGGTGCATGAGCCTGTGCAACAAAAATGCACAGAAGTGTAGTATGAGTACAAAAAAATAACGTGTACTCAGTAAGTATCCCGCCTAATCTCGAAGAAGTAGAGACGAGATAGCAACTTCGACACTTACTAATGGTCAAATAAGAATATTATTAAAGCGGTGATCTCACGAATTTATTAAGGACAGCAGTAGATTCAATGAATTACTAGACATGTAAAGTTCCTATTTATAAATGCCTCCGGATTCATAATCCTTTAATTAACAATTATCTCTAGTCGGGAGAGCAGCTACCAATGTTAATAAATATCAAGGCAAGCAATATAAGCATGCACAACTCATGCCGAGGTCGTACGGTCCGATCCAACTAAATGTAAAATGTGCACTGCCGAGGGTCAAACGGCATGAACCATAGATGCATCTATTACCCTGCTCGCGAATCACCCATGCGACGCGGTCAAATTTAAATAAACAATCACCCTGCTCGCGTATCATACATGCGACGCAGGCACACACAGAAATACATGCTCAAACAGCAAATTAAGAGTTTATCGGGGAACATTTATCCAAATAAAAGCCAAATTCTCTTTTAATGATTTTTTTGAGAAAACGAGGTTTATTACTTTTTAGAAATTCATTTACCAATCCGATAGGATTTCAGCAAGTCATACTGTCAATAACATTACAAGTATTCCAAGTACAACATGCTTTTGGGTCATAGACTACCAATAACATAATAGTAGCTATGCACGGACTCTCGTCACCTCGTGCGTACGTAGCCCCCACAAATAGGAGCACATAACCAATTAATTCACCTATGGGGACAATTCCCTCTCACAAGGTTAGAAAGGAGACTCACCTCGCTCCGAAGTTCCAAAATTGGAATTCCACGTCGTTCTGAAGACTTGAATTGATGCTAAATACTCCAAAACTAGCCAATGATTATGCAAATTCATTAATATACGATAAACTACTCGTATTAATCCAATTTATAACAATTTCTAACCCCGATCGGAAAGTTGACAAAAACGCCCTCGGGCCCACGTGCCCGGATTTCCAAAATTTTCGAAGAATAAGTTTACCCATAGCTTCACGAACTCAAATATATAATTTTCTCTAATTTTCATACCCAAAATCGTGGTCAAAATCCAAGAATATAAATTTCTAGGTCTTCCTACCAAAATCCCAAAATTCTACCAATTTACATGCTAAAACCCATACATAATCGATGTATTTAACTCAAGATGGATGGGATTAGCTTACCTTATCGATGATGATGAAAAATCCCACTTGAAGCTCTCCTAAAAATCGCGCAAGCCAAGAAAATATGAGAGAAAATGGCCAAATCCCTATTTTTAAAACACCCTTCTGCCTCCAGCACTTTCCGCACCTGCGGTCCTTTGACCGCTTCTGCGGTTCCGCAGGTGCGAGCCAACCTACCGCTTCTGCGGTTCCCTCCAGGTTCCCCCTTTTCCGCTTCTGCGATTCAACCACCGCAGGTGCGGTTCCGCTTCTGTGGCTTCTCGACCGCATCTACGGTCCCCTTCACTTTGTCCAAACCGCATCTGCGGCCCAATTCTCGCAGGTGCGGTTGTGACAGTAACCAGCAACTTCAGCCTTCCAAAATCCCATTTTCGATTCGTTAACCCCCCGGAATCCACCCGAGGCCCTCGGGACCCCAACCAATTATACCAACTAGTCCCAAAACACATTACGGACTTGCTCGAGGCCTCAAATCATATCAAACAATGCTAAAACCACGAATCGACCTCCAATCCAAGCTTTATGAACTTTAAAATTTCAAGCTTCTACTTTTGATGTCTAAACCTATCAAATCACGTCCGATTGACCTCAAATTTTGCACACAAGTCATATTTGACATTACGGACCTACTCCAACTTTCGGAATTGGATTCCGACCCCGATATCGAAAGGTCCACTTCCGGTCAAACTTCTCAAAAACCTTCAAACTCCATCTTTAGCCAAATGGCTCCAAAATGCTCCACGGACCTCCGAATTCACTTCCGATCGCGCTCCCAACTCCAGAATCACCATACGGAGCTACTCCCAGACTCGGAATCCCAAACGGACATCGATAACACTGAAATGTACTTCTACCCAAACTTATGAAATTTCTTCCAAAATGCTAACTTCCGCAATAGGCGTCAAAACGCTCCCGGGTCATCCAAAACCCGACCCGGACATACGCCCAAGTCCGAAATCATCATACGAACCGCTGGAACCTTCAAATCTTGATTCCGAGGTCATTTACTCAAAAATCCAATCTTAGCTAATTCTTTCAACTTAAAGCTTCCGAAATGAGAATTATCTTTCCAAATCAACTCCAAACTTCCCAAAATTCAATTCCGACCACATGCACATGTCATAATACCTGAAATGAAGTTGTTCATGGCCTCAAACTGCTGAACTGCGCGCTAGAGCTCAAAACGACCGGTCGGGTCGTTACAATATTAGTAATGCAGAGTTCAATGCCAAAAATCAAAAGCTACATTAGTGGTGTTATGTTGAAAACTAAATGATGTATTAAATATGGAGAGATTTCATTAGTATGCGTAGGTAAATATGGCAAACAAAGTGTTGGACACGAATTTTATGCTAGGATTGTTTTTCCTTATGCTCCCAGCTGAATGACCCCTAATAGTGGGATGCCATGGATATGTTCCCATAGAAAAGAAAAATAAAGATTCTAAGAGTTTCTTGCTGATATACATTAATCAACTGCCTAAAAGCATTAATTGTGCTTTGATAGTGTAGCTTTACATCTTTTTGTGTATCCGGGATTGTGAGAGAACATTTCCAACGACATTGTGTATGAGGGGTTCTCTGGAAGCTATCAGATGGTTATTGCGCAGACGTGGTGAGAAAAAAGTTCTTGAGGCACATTTTTAAGTATTGTTTCCTAATATTACTTAGTTTTGACTTCTCAATTCAATTTTTCATATTTAACATATTTTATGAAAAGATCAAACTTTCGTTTTGGTAACAAAATTGTGAAGGAAAATAATTGATACATGCTGGATGAGCATGCCTAACAATTTCCAAGTCAACATCATAGCATTAGAGTGCTTTAAAGGAGTCAAGATCAAGAAGGCTATATTTGTAATAATTGACTAAGCTCCTTAGAATTTGCTTAGGGGTATTTGGGTCATTTGTAGCCAAATGCCCACTCTAGTATAAATAGCCCTTAAGGCTTTTATTTTAGGTAGACTTGATGAATGATAAACCTTGAAGACATGAAAAGTCTCACGCTCTTTCCTTATCTTTTAATTAATGCATTTATGTTTATGCCTTTAATTGCTTTATTATTGCTTTGTTTATGCTTTCATTAATGCTAAATTAGTCTTAGTTAGTGAGCTAGTAGTGAATGCTTAATTGCTTAATTACTTTATCCGGATTTTCAAGAGTTGTCAATCTTTTGAGTGTTTTCATAGCTTAGGGTTACAATTGATTGAGTTCGTAGAGATAGTTAGGCTTCATAGCCTAATTGGTTCTTGTTCTTCCAATCAATTGTAGGTCTAGCTCTTATTGTTGATTCCGTGTATTTTGTCATATCCGTGTTTTAGTTCATAGTTCCTATCATTTTGGTATCAGAGCGGAGGTTTTGGATTGTTCTATCAATGCTGACTCAACTAATCTGGAAAAAAAATGAAAAATTCCAAAAAAAGATAGAAAGTTTACTTGTTCATCCCTGTTTGAATTAGGAATTGTATCTCATTGTTCTTCCTTTGTCTGTTCCAAAGAGAAACTCGAAATTCCTTGTTCTCTTGCTCGATTTTGATTCTGAAATTTCTGAATTCCTTCATTATCTGAGCTAGTATTACTGGTTTGAGTTTGGGTAAGCTGGGATTGAGCTTCTGAACCCTAACATCGAATATCAGAAGCGATTTTGGGAATTTTTTATTCCGGTTCCGTGATTTGAGTTTGAATTCGATTGGGAGTTTGGGAATCTAGTTGGAAACATCATTTTAAAGCTGCATCGGAAGGATTAGCTTGATTTGAACTGATTTGCTAGTTTTTGGTTCGAAATTTTGAGCTGATTGTGCGAAGAAGAAGACGACCTAGGGTTCGTTGATTTCGTGAGTGTTTGTTCAAATTAGTCACTGGGGTTCATCCCTACACCTGTTGGGAAGTTGCATTCGTAGTTCTAGCTTGATTGGAACTGATTTGATGCGATTTTGGTCAGAAAACTTTCAAACAGAATCTGCGAAGAACACGACAGGCTGGGTTCTTCTGATTTCGTGGTCGTGTCTAGAAACTAATCACTGGGGATTGTTTTTGTGTTGAATGGAGCTCGTATATCAAATTTGAACTCGTTGTGTGAAGATTTGAGTGAGATTGAACTGAGATATTTTTAGCCGAGCTTGAATCAGTCGAAGAACACTTGTTTCGATTGAAGAACTTCCCGAACTGATTCGAGTCGACTCCAGCAGCTGAGGAATCGTCACACGAACCAGGTTTGATTCCTTGAGTTTAAAAAAATGAGCTCCATCTCTGATTTCTGAAGTTTTGGAGAGAATTTGTTCTCTGAGGTAATTAGCTTGAATCATTCAAGTCGACTCGTGTTGTTTATTGCTTGAATTAACTGATTGCAACTGTTCATTTGGAGCTTGGGTGCTTGACTCGAAGACTTAAATTCATTTTTCATTCTTGTTGCTGTTGAATTTTGATCGAGAGTTTGTCGTCAAGTTTTCAGTTGAATTGAATTAGTTTTGGAGAGCCAAAGTTGAGTTGTAATTCTGCATTCAAGAACCACTGTTTGGGACAGCATTTAGCAACATCTTTCTGCATTGTATGCTCAGATCACACCAACTCTTTAGCTACTTCTTGTTGTCCAGAAATTGCAGCAACAAACAAATGGTTTTGGCTGCTGGAAATCCAACACTTTTGAGCAGTAAATCTGCCTGTTTCAGCAGTGTTTGATCAGACTTCTGCATATGTTTGACAGCCTAATTGCATCAATTTGGAGGAGTGTTTGAGCAGCAAAATCTGCACAGTTTGGACTGAGAGTTCAGCATTGTTTCTACATCTGTGAGCTTCTGAAATCTGAAGCCTTGGACTAGCATTAGAGCAAAGAAAATCTGTATTATTCCTGCCACTGATATTTGCGCTGTTTCAGCAATTTCTGCAGTTTTGTTGACTTTTCAGCTGAAATTTTTTGCACTTTGTGGTTATTCTGCTTTGTGGAAACTGCAACTGAAATTGAAAAGGTTTTAAGTTTGAGATTTTTTGAGCTTGTGAACCTAAGTTTGAGCGGTGTTTAACAGCATGAATTGCACAAGTTGTTAACCTCGAAATCAGCATTGTTCCTGCTATTTTGGGCATCAGTTGCACATCTACAGATTAATTTTTCCCAGTTGTTTTAGTTGTTTAACAGAATTGTAGTTCACAGTGGTTTCAAGTTTAATTCAGGTTCAGGGAATGCTCAGGAAACTTCAGAAAACTAGGAGCTACAGTGGTCGCACAGTTTTACCAAGAAACTCTGATTGTTAACTCTAAATTAGTTTCAGTTTTCTGTCAACTTTTTATTGTGCTCTAAACTAGTGTAAACTTGATATTAGTTCATATTAAGTTTAACATAGTTCTTTGTGTGCTTAATTTTGTTTCGTGCCAATTGTTTCGTGCTTTTGTCTTTTAATTTCGTTGCGAATTGCTTGGTTCAAGTCCGTTTGCTTTTAATTGTCCGTCCTTGTGAATACACAACTTCCACTCCACCCCGAAGCGGTTGGTACTTGTTGTGAAACCTTAGAACTTAAGTTTGCTAGCAATTTTGACATTCACTACTTGAGCGGAAAAAGGCAAGAGTGAATAAGACATTGAGCACGCAAGAGCCAATTGATGCAAAGTGTGATACACGAGGGTTGAGCGACATCAAGTGAGTTGGTGAGGACTTTTACTACTAACTTGTTTGCTCATTTTGTAGGTATCATGGAGTACGGACAAACTTCTACTCCTAATTGTGATCCACGGAGTGAGACTCCGATGCATGATGTTGTTTCTATGCTTTATGACATAAGCGAGAAGGTTACCATCTTAAGTGAGAAGGTTACCAATATTAGCATACGGCAACACCAAACGGATGCAAGGTTGAATTCCATGATAGAGGAATCTCACTTGAGGCAACAAGGAAGGGAGCGTAGTATGACGCTTACTAATTCCTCTACTACACCCTCTCCTTCACAAGTGCGACAAATGCTTCAAAGGAAAAATTTGCAACACAACCAACCCAACAAAATACCAGAAAACTTACCAAAGCGACCACTTCCACCAAAGGGACCTTATTTTCCTCCACCAAACTACCGTCCACCTACCAACAACCAACACAAGCCACCATTTAGACCTCAAGTACACATACCCATAATATCACCACCCCAAATGACCCAACCTAGACCACCAATGAATTTACCTCCCCAACGTATGCCTCAAGCACCACCAAGGAGGGACAATCTCCCTCCTCCACCACCCATACCACCTCAAGAGCCTCGAATGATTAACAACCCACTTTTTCAATATGATCATGAGACCACCTTGAATGAGTTGGACAACATCCAACAAGTTTTCCATGATAAATATAGGGGGAATAAAGTGAACCAAAGGGGAAGAGGCCAAATGAGTTTGAGAACGTCCTTGAAAAATGCAAAGAGAAAAAGTAAGGATGAGAGACAAAAGATAGAGAGTAGTGAGGAGAGAAAAGTGACAACTCTAGAGTGGATAAAGGGGAGAAAGTATGGAGTGAAGTGAGTGAGTTGTCACAAGAAAAGAGTGAAGAGCTTAAAAGAAAAATGAGAGACAAGAAAGAAGGAAAACAAAAAGAGAGTGAAATTTTTCCTTATCTAATGCTAACAACCTTTCTTCTTTCTCTAGTTGTTTTGTATCTTGTGAAGGAACTTTTGGAGGTGAGCCATTAAGTGAAGTTCAATCTACTTTGATGAACTTGGAAGAAGATCAAGCTACCTTTTCGAGAGAACTTTTGAAATTTAATGAGCAAGTTCAAGGTAAAGAGAATTTCACTTTAGAAGAGCTTCAAGGTAACATAGCTTATCCTTCTACTCGTGATACTTTAGTTGATTGTGGTGACACTTTGAGTTTGAAATATAGCTATGATATTGATGAGTTTGATACTTTTTTATCTTGCAATGAGAAAAATAGTTTTGGCTTGCAACTAGCTAGGAGTTCTTGCGCATTATTGGATGATTCTAGTTCTTTGTTTAATGAATCCCTAGCTAGTGATTTGTGTGATGTTGAATCTTATGATACCCCACCTTTATGGGATGATGCATGTGATGATTCTTTTGACTCTACTTTAACTTTGTTGGAAGAAAGTTTTGACCTTTATGGAGAAATGAGTCAAGAAGAATGTGTTGATGATTCTTTTGATTCTATTTTCATTCTTTTGGCAAAAAGAATTAATTTTTATGGTGAAATGAGCAAATGTGAGTTTGGAGATGCCTTGTTGGAGAGTGAACAAGTTACTTCTAATGACATAAATATAAAAGAAGTAAACTTCCATTTGTATTCCAATGAGTTAACTTCTCTTGTATTTGATCTTGATGACTATTATGCATATTTATGTGATGATTTTGTTGAGTGTGAAAAGGAAAGTAAATTTTTTGATGCTAGCACTAGTATTAATTGCTTTACTTATTCTATTCCTACTTTTGAAAGAACATTCTCGTTGGATTTTGCCAATGCTTCGATGAGAAAAGGTAAGAATGTTTCTTTTGGTATTTTGAGTGACCATTTTGAGCAAAAAGAACCTAACTTTATTGATTGTTTTGTGAAGGTTCAACATGAGAAAGTTGCTAAGGGTAAGAAAGGCCTTGAACTAACACTTTGGCATACTTTTTATCAAGAGCTTTTTCTTTTGCCCAAAAGCAAGAATGGTATGTACGTTTGGCTTATGCTTATTTTGTGGTTATCTAAGGCCAAGAGTTTTAACTTTGAGTATTACGATATTCTTTATATGATGATTCATGATGAGCATGGCATATCTCTTAAGTTGTCATGTGAAGTTGTTGGAAGGTGTGTAGATATTTGGAGATTAAAATTTGTGTTTGACCACGGAGTTGCTTCTTATCATGGTGAAGTGTCTTTCTTTGAGTTGGAGAGTATAGTTTTTATTCCTTCTTATGACACTTGATTATACCATAAAAATGTGCACTTTGTTGAGGATTTGACAATATTGTGGTTTTGTTGGAAGCATGAAACTTTACACTCTCTTAATTCTTCTCATAATTTATTATTTTTCTTATAATCAAGTTTGTGTCATTAGTAATGGAGATGTGTTCTTTATAGATTATGACACTTGGCTATATCATAAGAGTGTCACTTTCGAGTACAAGATTATGATCTTTGATCTTTTAGCTTGGACATACAATACTTTGATTGTGATTGGCTTGATACTTATGTTTGCCTCTTTCTTGGTTTTGCAAGGCCCAGTCTAGTATAAATAGCCCTTAAGGCTTTTATTTTAGGTAGACTTGATGAATGATAAACCTTGAAGACATGCAAGCCTCACACTCTTTCCTTATCTTTTAATTAATGCATTTATGTTTATGCCTTTAATTCCTTTATTGCTTTGTTTATGCTTTTATTAGTGCTAAATTAGTCTTAGTTGGTGAGCAATTACTAGTGAATGCTTAATTGCTTAATTACTTTATCCGGGTTTTCAAGAGTTGTCAGTCTCTTGAGAGTTTTCATAGCTTAGGGTTATAATTGATTGAGTTCGTAGATGTAATTAGGCTTCATAGCCTAATTGGTTCTTGTTCTTCCAATCAATTGTAGGTCTAGCTCTTTTTGTTGATTCCGCGTATTTTGTCATATCCATGTTTTGGTTCATAGTTCGTATCAATAATGCAATTTTAATCAGTTAGACGGAAGCGAGACTGAGATGGTTTGGGCATTTGAAGAAGAGTAGCACAGATGTCCTTGTGATGAGGTGCGAGAGGTTGGCGGCGGTAATAGTTCTAAGGAGAGGTAGATGTAGACTGAAGAAGAATCGGGGAGAGGTGATTATACATGACGCGACACATCTTCAGCTCAACGAGGACATGACCCAAATAGGGGAGTATGGAGGTCAAGTATTAGGGTAGAAGGTTAGCGAGCGATTTCTCTCTTCTCGGTTGGAGAACGTGGTTGTAGTTTGGAGCGCCTTATATGCTCCCTCTGCTCCTTATCAGTGTTATTAGTGTTATTGGATTGCTAACTTATTCCCCAATTTTATTATTACTGTTGTTTCCTTTATTTTGGTTGTCTTACTACAATCCTACTATTACTACTGTTTTTTTTATTGCTTTGGTTATCTTACTACTGATCTTCTCCTTGTTCTCCAATTTTATTGCTAATGTTTTTCTTTAATTTGTTTTGAAAGTGCTTTTCTTGAGCTGAAGGTCTATTACATATAACCTCTCTAGCTTACACAAGGTAAGAGTAACATCTGCGTACACTCTACTCTCCCCAAACTCCACTTGTGGAATCATACTGGATATGTTATTGTTGTTCTTGTAGTGTAGGAGTAGTTAAACTTGTCTTATGAAGTTATGAAAATTATACTAGCTTGAAGAAGCTACTTCTTTGGACTTTTAACTTCTCCTCGGTGTTGTATACTTGATTTTATAGGGTTGCCCTATCTAGTAAATTGTTTTTCTTTAAGAAATGCATAATTAGATGGAATTTTGGTGCCGTAATTTAATGGTTCAACTATCTAGGCTTAATTTACTAGAGAATGATAGATGACGTAGTAAAGAGCATGAAAATAGGAAAGCTGAAATGGAGGAGTACTATGGGATTGCTATACGATAGGAAGATACCTGACACAGTGAAAGGTAACATTTATTGAACTATGTTGAGACCTTTAATGTGTTGTTGTTGGTGAGACCTTTAATGTGATATGGGACCAAGAGGCCTAACATATCCACGACATGGATGTTGCAGAAGTGCCTATGTAACATGGATGTGCAATCATGGACTGGATGAAAATGGACACTTCCAAGACAGGACGCAAGTACGACACACGAAATGAGGGAAGATCGACTAAGATGGTTTAAACCATGATCTTCATAGACATCCACAATCATTTCATAATGCAACTTTATGATGATTGAAGGTGCTCGAGATAAACATAAAATTACATGGAGGTTTAGGTTGCAAAAGAACTACAATTTCTTGGTACCTGTGCGAACTTAGCTAAGTACAAAATATAAGGAAACAAAGAATCCATATATGTGATATTAATTAGTTTGGATTAAGGTTTAGCCATTATGTTTCACTAACATTAGGATTAGTCTTTTTCAAAAGTCTTTTCGATTTGGTTAGAGACTAATGTGAAAATATAGGAATAAATTTGAGATTTAGAGAGACCTCTAGTTTTAGATAATGTCCTATGTTCTTGAGAAAGCATATTATTTATAAGCATGGAATGATTTGGGCCCGAACAGAGTAGAATATTTCCAAAGGATTCATATCGCTATCTCTAACTTTATTGTGGAATTGAGTCGTAGTTGATTCATTGATGTTGGTCTCAGGAGGGAAAAAACCAAGCAAATGAGACTTGCGATTCGCGGAAAAGTTACTTAAGAAAAGTTCTGTTGCTTTGTTTAGTATTTTCATATGTTGAGTAGAGGTTTATGGTTGAGGGACTGAAAAAGTTTCTTAGGAAAATGATTAACAGAGGTCTCTCACAAAAAGTACTGGAGTTACACTTCACCTTGGCAATTGTGGAGTATAAACGTGCTTTGTGAACAAAAATAAATCAGCTGAAGCTGATGATGATTGCTAGAAAACTTTCTAGACTGCTATGGCCCCAAAAAAGACTACTTTTTTTGCTTTGGTTTGTATCCAGAGAATCGATAAGCTTCTAGTGCTCTGTGTTGATTTCTAATTTGTTTATCTTGTTTTCCTCGAGCTAACTAATGCAAATACACTTTGAAATTCTTGTGGACACCTACGCTGATGCTATAAATTAATGTTGCAAGAATTTCACAAGTATGTTGTCGTAACTCAAACAATGGGAGTCTTCAGTAAAGAGAGATCAGTCATGGTAACTTGTGTTTCATTTTCATGTGCAACTTTATAGTGGAAGACATAAATCACCCGTTGTTGCAATCTGCTTGAGCTTTGTGACCTAGTTTTCTATTCATTTGGATTGCACAGAACTTTTAGGCTTGGTTTTCTTGAGACGGTGGGTTCGAATCCCAGCCGAGGCAAAAGATTAGGTAATTTATCTTATCTTCTACGTCGTGGTGGATAGAATTATCCGGTACTTGTATTAGTAAGAGGATACACGTATCAGATGAAATAGACGAGGTGCACGCAAGTTGGTCCAACACTTTGTTATTAAAAACTAGAAAGAAAGAGAGAGAAAGGAGTAGATATGCATATCAAGGGCTTGAAAAGTCAATAGAAAGAATCTAACAATTTTTGCATCAAGGGTGTAGCCTAGTGGTCAATGAAGTGTGAAAGGTCTTGGTAGATGAAGGTTCAAATCCTAGCCGAAGCGTTAGGTGATTTCATCCTATCTATCTAAGTTTTGGTAGGCAGAGTTACTCAGGTACTAGTGGAGGTAGCAGGTACCCGATGGATTAGTCAATGTGCTCTCAACTAATTGTTCATTTTTTTGTAAAGAAGCAAATCCATACCCTATTGATGCTTGAATAGATCTTTTCTTGGAAGCCATTAGCATCACTTAGCCTCCTAATCTTTTTGGGCATCCTCTCTTTGTCTTTAACTTCATACAAAATTATATTGCATTTTTTCAAAAAAGAAAAATAACATTACTACATAAGATGTCTCCATTAGACAAGAAGGATCTCATTAATCTATCACTAATTTTCCATCACTTCAGATTAATAATTTTTAGATGAAATTAGCCCTTCAACCAAAGATGATGCTCAAACCAACGTCGGCTCATCCTGGATTGAGTAATAATTTGATCCTCACGAACCACTTGATGAACATGCTTATATTGTTTCATGAAGCTAGAGCATGATTATGGGCAAAACTGTTGCTTTTCAGGCGGCATTGAGAATTACTAATGATGGATACATCATGTGATATGGTAAAATTGTGTAAAGATGTTGAGCAGCAAATGCCTAATGATAACATTGAAACATCATACATTACTGGTGATGAAGAATATTTGCCTGTGAAAGAAAAGTACGTATAACTATGTGATGCTTTCCTTAATGAATGGTGGGATTAAGCTACTGGTGGATTAAGGAATAGCATCCTTTTTTGATACTTTTGTTTCACATGGGAAGTTCTGTTGATCTGGTCATTAGCTGCTTGGGACTTCATTGGACAAATGATCTTCCTGGAGCAATGATACAGGTGCTTGCTGTGTTTGGTCTGATGCAGCCAGATTGGATGTTCTTTTAGTTCTTAGTCATTTTCCTTTATTTTATTCTTGAACTCCAAATGACATCATCTCCAATTGACACTTACTATAACTGTACTTCTACCAGTGAAGATTGGCTTTAAAGTCAGATGGCCTATTTTTGGCAGCTATTCTTGGCGGAGAAACACTGAAGTATTTCACTACCATTTTATTTAGTGCAGGCAGTCTCTATGTCTGTAGTTGTCTAATTGCCATCGTACTGCTGTCATCTTAGGGAGCTGCGAATAGCTTGCATTGTTGCACAAATGGATCGTGAAGGGGGCATCCGTCCACGACTATCACCATTGGCCCAAGTATGTTATAAAAAGTTTGGCTATAGTGTCACGTCCCAAACTACCCCCTAGACGTGACTCGCACCCGGCTAACACCACCTGCTAGGTGAACCCCTCTCTCTAACATTTAACCATTTACACTAACACTTAGTGGAAAAAAATGCAGGCCTAATAGTATTATTAATAATTACAAAGGAAATGATTATCGCCAATACCTTAATCAATTGATAGAAAAACCAAAAATCACTCAAATAATAAAACTCTAACCCAAATCCCACACTAAGATCATGGAGCATCTAACAGAATATATATTAACGGGTATGCAAACCCCAAAGAAAAGAAAATAACTAACACGAACTAAGTAAGCCTTAAACGAAAGCCTCCACGAATAATGCGGTGGCTCACCTCAGCAGTAGGATTCACTCGAACAAACTCGCCAGCCACTAGCTCTATCTCCCGCTACGGTATCTGCATAGAGATGCAGGTAAGGAGTGAGTTATACGTAAATATAACCCAGTAAGATCCTCGACCCGCCACTTTAAATACCTCTGGAACAAGTGTTAGAAAATACAAACACACTACAACACGAATGTTATAGTAAATATGATAATTATACAATAACTCAATATATGTGTATCAACAGAGTTATTAAGAATTAACCAACAAGTGTATCAACAGAGTTTCACTGTAACAGAGTTATTACAGTGAAATATTTTTACCAACACACCTACGAGTCTACAACGGCACCACAAAATGCCTCAAATATGTAATAGAGCATACACAATGCTCATTGAAGCATACAAAATGCTCCAAATATATCAAGAAGCATACACAATGCTCAGGTGATGTACAAAGGCATACACAATGCCCCAACATCATGGCGCACAGCCGTATCAAACTCAACATCATGGCTCACAGCCGTATCAAACTCAACACCATGGCTCACACCCGAATCAAACTATCAAACTCAACATTATAGCGTATAGCCGTATCAAACTCAACACATGGCTCGCAGCCGTATCAAACTTTCAAACAACTTATAAAATAATATATTTTTCTTTTGTATTTTCATAAAATAATATATTTGCGGCTAATCTAATACTACCGACTTTGCCAAGCGCACGCTTGTCCCAACACATGGACCAGGCAGAGAAAACACACTTTCAAAACGGGTTTTAGAAAAGCAAGTATCAAACGTAAAGTCTCACTCACCTCGCTAACACAAGTTTCTCAACATTGCGACGTCTAGGAAACCAACCAAATGGCCTTCAATGACCTCAATCTATACAAAAATATTGATAAACGACGTCAATCATGCTAGCTGGGATCACTTCATAATTTTTCTTAATTTCTGACTTAGAGCTCAATCTCAATATTTTACACCTTAATCCATGAATTTAAAAGTAATGATATATTAAAATATCTCCATCTAACTCAACAGTTTGTTATGATTCTAATAACACTAATCCTAGAATACAAATATTCAACGTTTGCACTCAAGAATGAAAGGAACGGCCGAAACAGTAAGCTCGAGCGAATAGCTTTCTTTCTTTTTTTTTTTTTTCAACGCATAACTAACACTTGTGTACTCAACCTTATATCACTTTCTACAAGCTCAACCATATTATACTCATCTGTTCTAATCAGTAGCATAATCACTATATCACCTAATTAAAGTAGCAGAAACCAAAACAAACTGCATCAATAAAAAAAATAGTGTTCTATAGCAGGTTGAGTAACTTTTAAAATCTAAAACTCCCTCGATTTCATATTATATGAGGTAGTTTGACTCCGCACGGAGTTTAAGAAGAAAGAAGAAGACTTTTGAAACTTGTGATCTTAAAAGCTTAAGGGGTAAAAAATTTGTGGGGTCATGACATTTGTATAGCTATAAAAGCTTTTCATTAAGGGCAAATGAGTAAAATGAAAGAATACCGATGTACATCTGTATCAAGACATTGATGCTGTTCTATAAACACTAGTAAGGTTGTATTAGGACAAGTCTGTCTTACCCCCCCCCCCCCCCTCAAATAGTATAAACCGATTAAGTCAGAGAAATGGGAGAAATTCAAAAATAGCCAGATTTACCACTGGTCGTTGAAAAATAGCCAAGTTTCAAAAGTCATCGAAATTTAGCCACTTTAAATCTGAGCGAAAACACTGTTCAAAATCCGGAATAATACGCCCGCAAATTTTACGGGAGTTCCAGCATAAGTATGCTTGAACTCCCGTAAATTTTACGGGAGTTCCAGGATAACTATGCTGGAACTCCCGCAAATTTGCTTGAACTCCCGTAAAATTTGCGGGAGTTCCAGCAAGTATAATTGTCCAGTATAATATACTGGAGTTTGGAGCACTGGTGCTCCAGTCTCCCGCAAATTTTACAGGAATTAGCAAAGTATACCGGTCCAGCATAATATGCTGGAGTTCGTACACAAATGCACCAGAACTCCCGTATATTATACTGGACCGGTCCCTGTTGCAGCAAAATAGTGGCTATTTTTCATGGACTTGATAAACGCTGGCTATTTTTCATTGACCAGTGTGAAAACTGGCTATACCATGATATTTCGCCCAGAGAAATAAGAGATCCGGAGCACCAATAGGTACAAAGGAGTTAAACGGATGGATTCTTTATTTAGCTCATCCATATTTATCCTAGATATAGAGAGAGCTAACTGTGTGTACGTTATTTGCAAATAAAAGTTAATTGACAGATTAGCGAAAGTGTCAACCAAAAGGTTGAACTATGGAAAAGCACTCCAAAGTATAAGTGTTTTAAGATAGGTAAAACTAAAACATAATATATCCACTGCAAGTTTACCCAACATAAGATTTGCAAAGTGCACATGAGATTAGATGGGATTGCGATGAAAAAAGCAAACAATTAAGATATCCATCCTCTACATATTCCAGGAAACCATATATTTGCCAACTATTAGCACCAAAGGAAGCAGACAACAGTTTATTCTTTTTTCAGACACAGATTGATAGTTATTAAGTTTCCAAAAGTTAAAAGATGGTAATAGAAAGTACACAACAGAGAAGAGAAAGGATGAAGGTATAAGATGGTATAAGGCGTCAGGCCTTCTTAATTTACAGCCTCAGAGTGCTTCAAAAAGATATAGAAAAATTACAAAACTGGGACAAAAGAAACAAATTAGAATTATAGAAAACAAACTTAGAACTCATCTCAACCAACTACCTAAATCAAATTATCAAAACAAAAATGGCGAAGAAAGTATGCAAAATCAATTTACTTTGGCATCCCTATCTTTACAGAGCATATGCCATTCCTGAATTACAGCTGCTTGAAGTGCCCATTGCTCAACCTCTTCTGCCGTCCACTTAAATAAAGTAGTTGGCCCCTTAGTTTTACCATTTTCAACGTTAATCATGTCTTCTTTCTTTTGGTTCTCGTCATCTTCGTCTTCCTCCTCTTCTTTTCATCATCAGATTTTGGAGACTTCAGGCGAGGTCTTGCCGCCTTTAGTAATGTTATCCGTTCCATTGAAATCTTTAGCTTTTCAGCAGTAGCCACCTTTACTTAATCTTCAGGCATGTACTCAACACCACCATCAGTTAGGTCATCCCACCAACCCTGAAAATCTGAAGCAATCTCCTTGGTAATGGATTCATCTGATGCTCGGATCACAAATTTGCACATCATTGTGGTCGTCTCGCCGCCAAGATCCACATTTCTGCTCACTTCACTTGCACCAAAAACCATCATGCCCAAAAACCCTCCATACCAGGTTTTAGCAGCAAAACAGAGCTGCTCAATACCAAGCTGCAGATGAGATAAGGAGAAAATGGAATGCACTGAATTTGAACATAAATCCAAGCAGAAAGGAAAGGTCAATCTTCATATGTAAAATACCCAATTAGAAGTGCCTTAAAAACTTAAATGTGGCTTCTAAATCCAACATAGTAAAATATTCCCAAAGAAAATCAGAAGACGTTCCTTTAGAAACAAAGTTACTGACCTCAAATCCAGCAACTGTCCGAATGATGTGTGAGCAAACTCGGTGGAAAGGTTTGGAAGACAGAGATTTCAGGCCACTCAGGAATGGAGACTCCCCATATTGCTGAGCAGCAGTAGCCATGAAACCGCTTCCTTCATATGTATATGTACCAATACACTCAACTATAGCAGGCAAACTAGGCCATAGACGAAAATATTCAACTGGTGAAATTTTATGTGGCAAAAGAAGCTCGGTCAGAGGAATTTGGTATGGCTGACATCTCCAAATGACGGGTTCTCCTAATTCAGGTCTCAGGCTTTTCTTTTGTCTCATAACTTATGGATCCTCTTCAGAGTCTTCATAATCGACAGGACCAAAACCATAAAAGGGGTAGTAAAGTACTTGAATCCAAAGGTCACAACGCTCAAAATGGGAAACGCCCACAGTTACACTGCTCAGCACCGGTTCCTGGATTCATGCAAGTCCAATCAATGTATGAAACATAAACTATCAATGTATAGAGTACCACCAATGAGCATTAGGGTCCAACAATCAATTTACAAGGATAATGAAAAATGTGAACAAAAAGGTTATTCAATATCGAGCAACGTTTTCGAGCCAAATGAAAATCAGAAAACCCCCTTCCCTACCCCCTTTTTTTGTCCAGTCGAAGATAGGGAACAACCTTTAAAAAGGCGATGTTTGGTACGAAACCCGGAACAACCAATCACAAGTGTCTACCATATTTTCCATATGGGAAATACAATTTGAATACATGAAACAATTAAGTGAATACCTATCCATCAATATACCTTTTTCTTCTCAAATATCAAGCTAAACCAAAGATGTGGTAACCACACAAAATTGCAAGAAGCAATCTTAGGCCTCTAATTAGATAGCATCTGCAAATAAGAGTTACATTTTTCTATTTTGGAAAGTGGCGAACATGGTAATGAAAGAAATGAGATTAAAAAACTCAGAAAAACAACAAAGAGATTCACAAACCTTGACTAATATCTCAGTGAGTCAATTTAATCAATGAAGCTATACCATGCTC